TCCTTATTCCAATACTGAGATACGAGAAGAGTTCAACAAGGAGATCAAAAGCGAAATAGGGTATGATGCAGTCATCAAACCAGCAGCTGAACCAAAGCTCAATTAAACCGGTTGCACAATCCTAAACAGACCCGACAAGGACATATGTTCACTGTTTGAAGTCTATCAGCTCAACCACGTTGATTTAACGCATGAAGCTACTTGGAGAATATTCTAAGCTCAATTACAAATCTCCTCAAAGAAAAATTAGATCAAAAAGAGTTCAAACGAAGGAGTTATCTAATTTACAAACCAGGGGATTTTCAGGTTATCCAATTTGGACATGCGAGCATTTATTGGAGGATTCCCCCCGAAACAGCAATAGTTAATCTACAAATCGACTTGCAAAGAGTGTTCTTTTCTTTAGATTTAAGTGTGCGATTCACTTAGCTCTATAGAAGCTTCGAGATTAGTTTGTTTGTGCGATTCAAACAATCTATTTCGTTTACAGATTGAGAGAGTCATTCACCACAGATTGAGAGAGTGAATCAAACCACCACGTTCCATCTCAACATCACGTCCATTTTCCGCAACAAAATTTGTAAACTCTTGATTATCTCTTGAACATAAGTTGGGTGGATTCCAATCTTATATCACTTTTGTAAAGGCATATACTTATAAATAGGACATTCTCTTTGTTGGAGAGACTTATCTGTATTTGTAGAGAGTCTAGATTAAGGATCGCTGGGTTAGCTCAAGATTTGGAGCTTAATCGTTTGTAATTCCTTTTTTGTCAATAAAATTGGTTCAGGTTCTTAACAAATTGGTGACGGCGAGCGATCTGGATCTGATAGATCGCGATATCAAAGTGAATCGAAAGCGACGATGCTGTTTACAGTCGAGGATTCGCATTCAGATATGGAGAGAGAGAAGCCAACGAAGGAGCGATTCATGACCGTAGAAGAAAGGATCGATTCCAAATTTGTCTTGATTTTGGAGTTACTGCAGAAAATTGAAGCGAAGAAATTGGTAGAAGAACCGACACAAGTTGAGAATCATGTGATTCCAATTTTTCCGGGTGTTAAAGGTGTGATTTGCGATAAGGGCTTTCACAGATGGATGATTTCTTTGTTCACAAAGATTTCAATGATTTGGAGAAACTGAATTTGGCACATGCAGTACTCGAAGGTGAAGCTTTAGTGTGGTATCAACAGCGACAATCTTTGATTTCTTTCCAGTCCTGGAACGGGTTGAGAGAAGCTTTGTTGTTGATGTTTGGAAACAAAGATGATCCGAAAAGAATCAGGTTACAAATTGAGAACATATGAATTATGAAAGAATTCATGGATTCGATGAAGCAACATGAATCCAGTTCGTTGGAAACCAAAGTGATTCATGATGACGAATCGATGCCAGAGATGATATCTGAAGAAGATTTAAGTACAAGTGTAGAGAATGAAACGAAACTGGTGGAGGAATCAAGGGTTGCATCAATGGTGACAGAGACGATTCGCGAGGAAGAATTGATTCAAGAGGAACCCTCTGAATCAAGTGCACAAATGGAGTTAAGTGCTTTGTTTCAGGTGATGGAGTCGAAGCGAGAGGACATGGAATATCAGGTACTACATTCTGATTTGGAACAAAGTCCCTGTGATTATCTGTTAGGGATGGAATTAGGGATTGAGAATCGATATGTTGAAGTTTACCATTAAGAGGAAGCCATGTTATTACACAGACCATCTGACCATTTCCGGTGATAGTTCTTGGCACTAGTTTGTATGGATTGTAACCTCAGAAGCCCCAAACTTCTTCTTTTTATTCCAAAAGACCCCAACATTAAAACTGATTTTTGTTTAGATTTTTTTTTTAATTAAAAAAACGGTTAAATACTCAATAACCCTTAATGAATCAGCATATTTACCAATTCAACCAGACATATCCACCCGAACCCGTGGGATCCGAGCAAAATTCGGATCTTCCGATAAAAACCTGCAAAATCAAAGAAAACGGGATTAAAAAAATTCTGCATTTTCTTACGTTTCTTTCGTGATTTCATCGGTTCTCTTTGCGAGAAATCTGTGAGCCAAACCGTCTCCCGTTTTCGTTGCCGTTTTCTTCTTGTTCGCCATTGTTGTTCCATCTCCGACTTCATCACCTTCTGTTAAAGGTGAGCGTCTCAATCTTCTTGAATTTCAGAAATTGGGATGAG